ATCTTGTGCTGCTCTCTTCTTAAATTCAAAGGGAGGTCTGATGGATGGTGTTGCAAAATCTTTCTTTGCCATATCAAGTTTGTATGCTGAAGTAGTGGCGATCCAACATCCATGCCTCATGGTTGAAGCCAACTCACTGATGAATGCTACAATGGTAAGTGACTGCCTAAATGCCATCAAACTGAGTGCCATAGAGAATTTTTCACCATGGGAAATCAGCACTGTTGTGGAAGACATTATAAGCATAGATAGATTACACAGGATTAATTTTTTACACAAGTCTAGAGCCAAGTTAAAGGCTGCTCATTGAGTGGCAGCCGCTATGATGCATAACTCACTCTCGCGAGGATGGGTTGGGTCTCCACCCTCCCCCCCTCCCCCCGAGCTTAAGACTTTTATTACTATTGATTGTAATTCAAATTTTTCTACTTAATGAAATGATACACACTGCTTGTTTTGGATCAAAAAAAAAACACTTACTCTCCTCTGGAATTCATATATCTCCTCACAATATCAAAATAAAAAAAAATAGTTATTGAATTTGTTTCAAATCTATATAATCAAGTACACTTAGCTTTTAATCTTTAGAGGTGGTTCAGTGATTAAGCTTGACATTTGGTAACCTAATAGTCTCACATTCAATCTCCTCTCACACCTCTTAAGGGCTAATCACCATTATACCTTTAAGGACATGCTCTAACACAGTTTAAATTACGGTGGCTAACTGCTGAGCTTGAGAAAATAGTTAATACAAGTTTGAATACCTTGTAACAAAAAAAAAATAGAAAAAAGAAAGAAAGAAAGGAGACTTAACTTTTGGGCAGGTGCAACCTGAATTCCATTTTCTGTATTAGGTTTAGGTTTGGGCTTAGTAGTCTTGGGTTGGACCTTTAGTTATAAATCTTAACTTGGGTCCAGTCCGGCCCTCCCTTGAAGTTTGAACATGTCAAGCCTCTAGATTCATGAGAATAAAGTCAACCCATTTCTTGTTGACTTTTTTGGAATTTAGGCGTAGTCAATAAGAAAAGGTCATTCGGTAAGGAAAACTCCATATAATCTTTTAGTGTAAGGTTGTATTCTAAAACATTTCATTGATATTTAAAAGCATTGTCCATGACTTTGGGATCATGACTTGTGATGTGACCAAGTAACTATGGATAACGACATGACTCTAGCTATTTTTGAATTGTTCAACTACGAAAATTTGTTCTTTAAAATATAATTTTCAATAGTTATAAATCTTAAAAGTGAAACCCTCCAGAGATGGTTCAAGTTAGAATATGTTATTGGTGTAATATTTTAAAACATAAGTTCAAGTTCTAATTTATTTAATGTGATGGTTTAAAGTAGTATGGATATTCGTAGTCTCCCCAATTACATTATCTCAATCAAAAAAAATTTGAAGAAAAAAAATTACAAATTTTTTACACGTTCTAATATAAGTTATGATTTTAGACCACGAGAATTGAATCTTTTGAACTTATTTTTTATAAATTTTGATCAGATTTAATAATTTATCATCATTAGATTAAGAAAAAAATTAACCGAAGTACGCGGATGACACTTCTAACCGTTAGGAACCAAAAAAAAAAAANACAATTACATCATGTCAGTGGTGGAACTACCGAAAAGCTTTTGTCATCAACTAAATGAATATATAAGGAAATTTTGGTGGAAGAATGGGGAGGGAAACAGTGGAATTTGCTGGAAGAATTGGGAAAAGATGGTGGAGCCAAAAGACAAGGAAGGAATGGGTTTCAAAGAGTTCAATCTATTCAACCAAGCATTACTAGCTAAACAGTGCTGGAGGCTTCTCAACCACCCGAATGCCTTCTAGGCAAAGTTCATCAAAGCCATCTATTTTCCTAATGAAGACTTTATAAAAGCTAAACGAGGGGCAAGACCCTCATGGATCTGGAGCAGTCTTCTTCATGGGAGGGAGTTTCTTGAAAAGGCACAATGTGGCAGATCAAAGATGGTAACGAGGTCAACTTCTAGGATGAAAAGTGGATTCCTCACTTTGCTAATCTGGGAGTGCATTCTCTAAGACCACAAGACTGCTGGATCAATCTAGTTGTTGATGCTATAAAAGAAAGACCATTATAATGGAATGTCCAAACATTCCAGGACAATGTCTCTGAGGAAGAAATGAAAATCATTCAGTTTATTCCAATCCCAGTTAAAGGAGGAAATGATAAGAGGATTTGGTGGCCTGATCATAAGGGGGAATATTTGGTGAAATTAGGGTACAAGTTGGGGATTGCTAAGGAATCTTGTCCGAGAGAGACAAACTCATCCTTTTCCCCCCATCCAAAGATGTGGCAAGCGATTTGGAACATGAGGGCAGTGTATAAGGTGAAACATTTTTGGTGAAAAACATGCTATAATATACTAGCATCTCAAGAGANTCGGTGAAATTAGGGTACAAGTTGGGGATTGCTAAGGAATCTTGTCCGAGAGAGACAAACTCATCCTTTTCCCCCATCCAAAGATGTGGCAAGCGATTTGGAACATGAGGGCAGTGTCTAAGGTGAAACATTTTTGGTGAAAAACATGCTATAATATACTAGCATCTCAAGAGAACCTTTACAAGAGAAAGTGTGCTACTTCGCCTGTATGCAAGATCTGTCTGCTTGCCCCAGAATCAGTTGAACACTTAATGTTTGAATGTGAATGGACCAAAAGGGTGTAGTTTGGGATGGAGATGGCTTTTATTGTGGAGCAGGTTGGTTTCATGTCTATTTCCCAACGAACTTCCCAGATTCTGGAAACAGTTAGTGATCCTCAAAGGAGGCATGAGGTGTTGGGATTGATGGCGACAGTGGGATGGATCATATAGAAAGCAAGGAATCAGAAAATTTTCAACAATGAGACCCCTAATGCTTTTGCTATTGTGTTGAGAGTCAAAGGCTTGTGGAATGAGCTATTTAACATGGAGGATATGCGTAGGAAAAAAAACCTGTCTAAGCCACTGGAAAGCGAGGAAACAATGCCACAGTCGAATTCTAAGTTCATTATTTGTTGTGATGGAGCATTTAAAACTAAAACCAATGAAACATCTTGTGCTGCTCTCTTCTTAAATTCAAAGGGAGGTCTGATGGATGGTGTTGCAAAATCTTTCTTTGCCATATCAAGTTTGTATGCTGAAGTAGTGGCGATCCAACATCCATGCCTCATGGTTGAAGCCAACTCACTGATGAATGCTACAATGGTAAGTGACTGCCTAAATGCCATCAAACTGAGTGCCATAGAGAATTTTCCACCATGGGAAATCAGCACTGTTGTGGAAGACATTATAAGCATAGATAGATTACACATGATTAATTTTTTACACAAGTCTAGAGTTAAGTTAAAGGCTGGCAGCCGCTATGATGCACAACTCACTCTCGCGAGGATGGGTTGGGTCTCCACCCCCCCCCCCTCCCCCCGAGCTTAAGACTTTTATTACTATTGATTGTAATTCAAATTTTTCTACTTAATGAAATGATACACACTGCTTGTTTTGGATCAAAAAAAAAACACTTACTCTCCTCTGGAATTCATATATCTCCTCACAATATCAAAATAAAAAAAAATAGTTATTGAATTTGTTTCAAATCTATATAATCAAGTACACTTAGCTTTTAATCTTTAGAGGTGGTTCAGTGATTAAGCTTGACATTTGGTAACCTAATAGTCTCACATTCAATCTCCTCTCACACCTCTTAAGGGCTAATCACCATTATACCTTTAAGGACATGCTCTAACACAGTTTAAATTACGGTGGCTAACTGCTGAGCTTGAGAAAATAGTTAATACAAGTTTGAATACCTTGTAACAAAAAAAAAATAGAAAAAAGAAAGAAAGAAAGGAGACTTAACTTTTGGGCAGGTGCAACCTGAATTCCATTTTCTGTATTAGGTTTAGGTTTGGGCTTAGTAGTCTTGGGTTGGACCTTTAGTTATAAATCTTAACTTGGGTCCAGTCCGGCCCTCCCTTGAAGTTTGAACATGTCAAGCCTCTAGATTCATGAGAATAAAGTCAACCCATTTCTTGTTGACTTTTTTGGAATTTAGGCGTAGTCAATAAGAAAAGGTCATTCGGTAAGGAAAACTCCATATAATCTTTTAGTGTAAGGTTGTATTCTAAAACATTTCATTGATATTTAAAAGCATTGTCCATGACTTTGGGATCATGACTTGTGATGTGACCAAGTAACTATGGATAACGACATGACTCTAGCTATTTTTGAATTGTTCAACTACGAAAATTTGTTCTTTAAAATATAATTTTCAATAGTTATAAATCTTAAAAGTGAAACCCTCCAGAGATGGTTCAAGTTAGAATATGTTATTGGTGTAATATTTTAAAACATAAGTTCAAGTTCTAATTTATTTAATGTGATGGTTTAAAGTAGTATGGATATTCGTAGTCTCCCCAATTACATTATCTCAATCAAAAAAAATTTTAAGAAAAAAAATTACAAATGTTTTACACGTTCTAATATAAGTTATGATTTTAGACCATGAGAATTGAATCTTTTGAACTTATTTTTTATAAATTTTGATCAGATTTAATAATTTATCATCATTAGATTGAGGAAGAAATTAACCGAAGTACGCGGATGACACTTCTAACCGTTAGAAACCAAAAAAAAAAAATCACCTCGAGTCTTCTAATCAGTTGTTGAATTACCAATCCTGAAATCCATTGGATTCTCTCCCCATTTTATATTTTTATTTTTAATATTGCTTTGTTCCATCCTATGGTTGACAATGATTAATTTGGACACAAGTTGAATAGTACAACCAGTCTCAACCGTATTGCTATCAAGACCAAGTAAACACCTAACCACCATTGGCCCTCTTAAGTTTCTTCTCCCTGGGTTCAACCTCATTAGTCTCTCTCTCTCTCTCTCTCCTATTACAATCTAGTAAATAGATGTATACCATGTATGTTTTAGTAAGAGAACTTGAGGAGGAAGATAATTGAAGCATAGGGAGTTGAAGAAAAAACTGTGGATGGAGAACCCAGAACAATGGGGCGGTGGAGGGAGGAGGGTGGTGGTGATTGGCGGTGGAGTAGCTGGCTCCTTCATTGCTAAATCTCTTCAATTCCATGCAGATGTAACTCTTATTGATCCGTAAGCTCCCATTTTTATCCTTTCCCTTTTACATGCTCTTCAATTTCACTACCCTCTTCTTATCATCTCGTCTTTGTATTCTCTCTGTCTTCTGTACTTTTTTTTTTAATTTCTCAACCTTTCATGTTATTGAGCTATCTGTTTTTTTAAATCCCAAATTGTATACTGGGCTGCCAATCCTCCGTATAATGAATTTGGTCAATGCTTGCCTTTAGCTTTCTGTTTTATTTATTTTTTTCAGTAGTTAAATTTTATTGAGGTGAACTCAGAAGGCTTCTTGAATTGTTCTTGTAGCAATTATGGAGTGTTGATATTTTTTTTTTGTTGAACAAAAGTCACTTGGTGTAAGACTCCGTTCATCTAATCCTCCCATGTTTAGTCCATTAGGTACGCCCCTTTATTTTTAGCAAAAGTCACTATCACCACCTTATTTCGATAAATTCAATAAGGGTTCCTACCAATTTTGATCTCACCTATGATCATGGGAGTCCCATTGTTCATTCTCTTTTTGATTATTCGTAAGTAGCCTGGGAATACATCTACTTATTCTTTGAATTCTCTCTGCTAATCTCTTTTTTGAGGAACATTGAATTAATTAATTCTTTTTCTGAGGAAGAATGTGCACCAAATGGATTCAAATAATCGATGCAATTGGTTCAAATCTAGAGGCAAAATTTCTTGACACCATTAACAGGAGGGAAAAGGAGAGAAAGCTTATCAGATAGACGCATTATCCAATAAGATAACATTGACGGTGGAGGCAAATAACGAGCAATCTATTCAATTATGTATTCCATTAGTTCACCCCAATACTTCAAGCATTTGAGAGAGAAATGGCATAATATAATCAAGTGCTTCATGCCACCGATATGTGTTTTCTTTCTGTATGTCATTCCTTTCTATAATGTGATACTGACCGAACCATACGGTGGAGATCGAAGCACTTTTGCTAAAAATGTCTTTGATTTAGAATATAATAATGATTCATGATATCTAGAAAGGGTGGGAGGGTGAAGAAGATTGATATGAAAAGAGCTATACACATAACTAAATCCCATTCTTCCAAGTAATACATTTTGTTAACCTCAGGATTTCATACCATTCTTCCACTTACCTCTCTTTGTACTAATAGTAGTTCATGACTTGCAAGCCCTTTTGCTTTTCCTATGTTTACATCATCTTCATAAAAGCGCATATTTCTTACTTTCTTGGGTTCTGTTTGTAATTGAAAATTGTTATCAGGAAGGACTACTTTGAGATTCCATGGGCAAGCTTGAGAGCAATGGTGGAGCCATCATTTGCAGAAAGATCAGTGATCCACCATAAAGATTACCTCACCAATGGCCATCTCATCGTGTCCAGCGCCATCAACATCACTGACACTGAAGTCTTGACTTCAGAGGGCCGTCTGGTTACCTATGATTACCTTGTCATTGCCACTGGCCATAATGATCCTAGTCCAAAAAATAGAACCGAGAAACTTAAGCAATACCAAGCAGGTAAAACTACAGAGCATCAATTCAAATACCATTCTCCTTATTATGAGCTGCAAATATATGTTGTTGAAGTGACAGGAAATGTTAGAAATTGTTCTAAGTACTATAAGATTATCATCAGTTCTACAGATAGTTACTATTTAATTTGTTTCTGCCTTGGGAAAAAAATTTAACAACTGTGTTGCCCATGAGGATACTTATAGTTGCTTACTGTCCATAGATATCTCCATTAGCTAGACCCTTTCTTAACCTGCTTTTGGANATTGTGTTTCTTTGCTCTACATCCTCTTTTTTTGGTCAAACAAATTTTTGGGTCTGGCTCCTGTGCTGTACAGCAGGGGGTTCTGTTCCTCAAAGGACACCGTTTTGCACATAAACGACATCAGTTTTGAAGGACAACATCTCTGATGTACATCAAAGGAGCTGTGACTCAAATTTTTCCTTTTGATGGTTATATTGCATATGTAAGTGTAGTGTGTATAAGTATATTGATGTCCATGTAATTATTACTTAAAGATGATTGTTATCCTGATAGATTCCCTTGTGTTGTACTTAAACTCTGCATCATCTATACTCTTGTTGAAGTTAGAATGTTGGATCACTACATTACCTTAGGAAATTAAATGTTCAAAAGATCCTTTTAACAATTTTATTAATATTATATCAACCAAAAAATCCCCAAAAAGCCTATGCTCATGACTTCATCTCTTCCTCTAACATCAGTACACTTTTATTCAAAACTTGGTCATCTCTAATACAATTTCTTTCTGGATTTAATGTATTTAAGTGGGTCCTTAACTGATTAATGGTAAATGATTTGGCAAGGATGAAAATCAAAGAAAAAAAAATTGGCAAGGATGTGTACCCCTTTCATTCTCACCTTTTTATTAATATATTCTCCCATATGGGTCCGGCAACAGTTTGGATTTGGATCGAATTTTGACTGATTTGAATCTAGATTTAAAAGTCTGATTTGAATACATTCAATAATCCGACGAATTTTATTTGTGTGGTTCATATTTGAATTCATTAACAATCTGAAATTCGATTTGAAAATTCAATTCGAATAACTTAATTAACTAAAATTTGACAAATTATACCTATATTTCAACTAAAATTCTTTAAATAATCACTTACTTCTTTAATATTCATATAAAAATATATACATAATTTGAATCGGATCAGATATAGGTATGTTCAAATATGAATTTGTGAAAAATATAAAATATCGATAAAAAATGTCAATCCATATCCGACTAATTAGATTCGGATTCGAATAAAAATTTGATCCATTGAGAGTACCTACTTTGATGACTAGCAACAATCATAATAATATATTTGGTATTCTATTGAAAATGTATTTTTAGGTTCAAAATTACTTTACTTTCAAATAAAATTCAAACGATTTTTAACTTTAATTGCCAAGAATTGTGGATAAATTTTTTTTGTTGAATTTCGTTGTGGAGCAATTATATTTGGACCTAATTTATTGACTAATTTACTATAGTCATTTGATTGATTGTGAACTGCATCAAATATTGAAATTTGATATTAATTTAACGACTATAATAAAATCACGTTATTAGGTCAACAGTTTATGTTAGATTTTTAGATTTAAATAATGTTACTTTTTGTTGCGTAATCACCCTGGTGCATAATGTAAATTACACTTAAACCCCTAAACTATGATTTTATTTTACATTGGCCGTTGAACTATTTGTGTTCTTGCATTGCACCATGAACTATAGGTTTGAGTTTTACATTTCTCCAATAGTTAACCTCTGTCCAATTTTTATAAGAAAATCAAGGCAAAAGTGAAGTTTCAAAATATTAGAAGATGTTGTCTTTCCCTCTCCAATTGGGAGGAATTCTATTTTTGCATTGATTTGACATGTAAAATTAGACAAAAGTCAACGAATGGGGCATGTGAACTCAAACTAATAGTATTATTATAATTCTAACCGTTGGACTTCTCTATTTTAACTCTATCATTTGAAGCATGACTAGGTCAGATTTTAAGGTCACAATGCATTATTCGATTGTTTATGGGGCAATGAAAAAAAGGGCATAGTTTAGGGGGTGTAAGTGTAATTTTCTCTTAAATTAACGACCAACTTTTGAAAGCATCACATCGCAACGGCTACTTTTTGGTGTCCTCTGTTCTTCTCTTCTTCCCACACTGCCTTCTTCTTTCTCACTTCCACCTTCAACAACAAAGCTTCAATCCGGATTCAACATCGACGAGAAAACAAAGCAAGCAGCAGAAAGAGAGAGAGAGAGAGAGCACGATTTTCAGCCTGAGAAATTATGAATACCTGTGGTGGTGGTGGTGCGGTGGTGGTGGTGGAGTATTTGGAGTCATCCATGTCCAGAGAGCTTCTCTGCAAGTTCCCAGACAACTCAGCCTTCGATTTCGACTACTCCCAGAGCTCCCTCTGGTCCCCTTTAGTCCCACGCCCCTTCCCTTCCTTTGCTAACAGTAGTGGTAGCTGTGGCCTCTCTGTCATGGCCATGGGACTTGGTATATCTTCAATACAGAGAAAGCTATCCTATGGGGAGGATGATGGGTGGTCCCAGAAGAAAAATACCACTCTGAAGAAAGTGACTGCAAACATTAAGAAGAAGATTAGCTCTACTGTGCTTGGTAATGTTCAAAATTATCATAAATTGAAGGTAAAGAAGAAGAAGAAGAAGATGATGAACAAAAAGGTGGATTTTGATTTCTTCCCAAACCATCCTTCTGTTGAGGGTAATTCTACTACCCCAACCCCAAAAAAGGTAATCTCTCTCCTCTCCTCTACCCGCTCTCCTTTCAATTTAGTATTGTTGCTCCAAAATCTGTTAAGATCAACAAAAGAATTCCAATCGATAGACAGTTTTACTCTTGGGATTTTATATTTTAAGTCTAAACAAGTATATATACTTGATAAGTCTTGCTTCTACTTCAATTTTCCTACTTTTTTCTGCTTTGAATTACCATTATCTAAAATGGAAGAAGGAAAAAAAAGAGATGATGCTTGTGTTTTACTTAGATTTATACAATTTTATTTTTTGGTCATTTATTTCATTGAACAAGTGAATTTTAGGGTTGTGGGTTTGTGACTTATGTAATCCACATCAAGTAAAAATCAACTATAACTAATTTATCTAGTTAATCGTGTTAGATACCGTGATTCAAAAAATCACAAGTTTCTTCCATCTCAATCAAGTCAACGACTACTAGTAATTTTTTGTAAACTAAAAATTTATTCAGTCTAGATGCTTAAATATTATATGAGTTAACCAACTTGATTATTATTCATGTTAATTGGTCGTTTCAGTTTCGTATAAAAAACTAGTCAATTCTAACTCATAAATCTTGTGATGGGTTTATATCGTATTATCGCATAATATTGAAAATTATAAATGTTTTTGTTTCCTTCTGAATGATCGATCAACTACTGACATGTAGGGATGGGCTAAGCTGTTGAAAGTTGCCTCCAAACATTTCAAGAGGACCACCAAGAAGAAGGATCATCCAACTTCAATATCATATTGAGTTTTCCAACTGTTTCACAGATGGACAACCCCTGTTTTTTCTGGTGTTGCTTAATTATTTTTCTTCCATTTATTGGCAATTTAAATCGGTAGTGCACTAATGTACTTTATCATAGATTCCTTAATATTAAAACATTAAGGAATCTATTCAACTGTATTCATTGCTACTCTACAAAGTATTTATTCCAACTATTTAGGATTGGCTAGTTTTGGGAGGTTTTTGACAAAACCTACCATATCAATCTCGTGGGTTTGGTTTGTATTCTCTCGTTTGTCTGTACAATTGATAAATATTGTTCTATCTATTGTTCTATTTTCTACTAGTTAAGTTTACCTCTCTACGTAAAAAGGTGTCGCAACTAAGACTGTCAGTGGATCGAAGCGGGGGTGGGGGTGTAGTCTTTATCCCCGCACCCACTTAAAAAAACTCTATTAATTTTTTGTTCACTCCCGTTAACGAGTATAGTTTTCATCCTCATTCTCGTCCGCGGATAATTTTTAATATCCGTCCCCGTCCCCGCTTCCCCTGTGCCCACCCAAGTCCAAGTCCAAGCTCAAACTCAAATTTAAGCCTAAGTCAAAATCCAAACCCAAGCTCAACCCAACATTTTAGGGCGGGTGTTGCTTCAAAAACTAAAGCACAGACCAGTTTACTATCTCATCTACTTTCAAATTTCTATAGTCACACTCTATGCCCAATACGACTTCAGTTACCTGTAGTCATTCCATTACGTACCCGGGTCAATCATAAACCATCAAACATTTAATGATGTCCTCATAAAGTGCAGTATTACCATCCCCAAAGTAAAAGAGATAAAGCCCTATCACAAGTGGACTTCTTTAAACCAAAGTATGCAAGTCGGTCCAATAATTTTGCAATTTGCACCCAATTCAACCAAACTGAAAGAAGGAATCCAAATAGCAATTACCAAATCGGCATTTAAGAAAAGAGTATATATGTATAACGGGTAGCGGGAGCGTGGGATAAGGGTAAGTCCATTCCCGCCTTCATTCCCGTACGGGTTGATATGGGTATTCCCGTATACGTCCACCGTCCAATATGTATAGTCCATCCCCGGTCCAAACGAAACGGATTTGGACGAATACATGTTTTTCTCCGGTCTACTGCCATCCTTAGTCGCAAGTGGGGGAGTGCGTCGCGTATTGTAACACATCTCAAAGCAATAACTGAATGGTTTATCATTGTCCTTCATCTTGCATCAGTACTATACAATAACAGATCTGAAAAATAAAATTTGACTCTTGTAGATTCTCCACTCATATATAGTCTATTGATTCAGGAGCTGAATGATTTAGGAAATTTGCTTTGAAATCATGAGAGACAACATCTCTTGATTAAATGATAATCAATTAATCCACTTATTATCGCAAATAGCCTGCAAATACATAGTTGGGTACAGTATTGGTGAGTGTGTTAATCGAGTTGAGCCTTTCTAACTTCAAGGATGCTCAAATTCGACTTGAGTTAATGTTGGGGTGTTCATATTTGGCTCAAATTCAATCACTCACTTTGGGTAGAGTGTGAGATGTCCGAGCTCTACTAGGTTTTCACTACGAGCTCGAATTCAAACTCCATTCCTTCCAAATACAGAATCATTAAGCAAACTCAAGAATC